TAGGACGACTAATGGATAAACAAACATACACATACATAGTACGACTAATGAATACACAAACATACACATACATAGGACGACTAATGGATACACAGACATACACATACATACTTTTACATAGGACGACTAATGGATACACACATACACAAAATGGATACAAAATGGATACGCCCATACAGGCATACTTTTAAAACGTCTAAGACTCACTATACCTGCATATGCCATGTTAGTATCGTATAGATTTATAGATTTTGCGACATTTTAAATATTGCGACCATCCAAGTACTGGCGAGAATGAACACATTTCTTCTGGTAAAACGACCAGCTATAACATAAATAACATTTTTTTGTTAGCCCAACTCCAATCTGTTGTACTGGATTGGCTGAGTTTTACTGATGTATGGGAAGCCTCATGATCATTCTACAGCTCATAATCCACATAAATATTAGACAAACGTATGACACTATCAATCAGGAATAAACAGGATGAGAACTTGGCCATAATAAATGATAAGTAGAAAGATAACGAAGCTTGAGGAGAACAATCACTAGGTGTAATGTAATGTCTCAGGTTTTGTAAGTAAAGACTTGTAATGACGCCATAAAAAACTCTTAGGACAATACATATCAACAGATTTTTAGATCTCTTAGCAATGTGAAGGATTCAAGAAAAGTCTTTCAGCAAGAAATGTTAACCTATTAGTGGAACCTTCTTACTGGAACATCGACTCTGCCTCTCAACTTCCTCGTTTTCTCTATTCAAAAGTAGCAATACCTGTATTGAATAAAACACTTTCTATTTTGAAACCATTGATATGCCTCGAAATTTCACTTCTTGTCTGCGAGTCAAAGTCTGTGACGGTCAAGAAGGTACAGCAAGCTACTAAAAGGCTCTATGAAGTTATGGGGATGGGGAGGAGTAAGTCACAATGTCTCCTCCAAGATACAAGTCAGACCTTTGTAAAGGGAGGGGAGGGGGCAGTTATTGCGTACATACATGTAAACAGGTAAGAAGCCACCCCCCACCCCCCTTCTCGACATAAGTGAGTAGGGGAGGAGCCAGACGAGGCATGATTTATTCCTAATATCATTAACTCTGCCTGATACAATGGATGCAAGCTTGGTTTCCCAAATTTAATGAGCATAGACATTTTACAAAATTATAATGTCCAGGTGTACAGATTTTGGCTTTAAATACACATGTATATAAATACATAAGGTTTTTCTTTGGAGTTAGTTTAAGTAATAGGTTTGTCTTTGGAATCAGTCTAACACCTGTGAAAATAAAAAAAAGTACTTAAAAGACAGTCTCAACACACTCAATAGTGTCAGATGAGTTGAAGAAAATGGGCATAACTTTTTATCTTTATAATGGTTTTCTCTGGGTACTCTGGGTAATATATCAGGTGTAAACCTGACGGACCTGTAAATGCAGGCCTTTAAAGTCTTTGCCAAGGCTCATCAGAAAACAAAATCAAATCACTAGGTCTGTTCTCATTTCATTAACGAACAAACCTGGACCAATCGTTGGAATGCCATAAACGAAAACGGCTCTGATGTCGGCCACCAGGATATGGATGCCTGTCTATGGAAAAACTTCCAAATATATTTATAGAAGTACATGCTTCTTTTACATCATTTTAAGACCTTTTGACATTTAAATCAAATGCAAAAAACATATATCATACGTTAACACAAGTCTACATAGTACACAAAACTTTCATTTTACCAGGATGTATGTCACAGTAGCTTGTCACTGCCAAATATACACCTTTAAAAACATGGTACACTGCCCTCACTGGGACCAGTTTTATCTATAATCTACCTCAGTAAATATTTAAGGATCTGAGGAGAACCAAAACTTATGAATGATATCATGATTATATTGCAGTATTAAAATAAATGAATGAAAAATATCGTTTAAAAGATCACATGTATCATATTTCAGACATACCACTTTCTCTGCCCGTACCACAACTGTTCCACTCCTCGCGTAAATGCAGTCTGGTTTATTTCTGTATAAAGACGTACTGGTTCATACTAGTGAGCCCTTTACAGTGTAAATCAACTGAACCACTTATTACCCATAAGGTAAGTGCAAAGTATTTCAACAAATTTCTTAAATAAATGGCACCAACACTTTTTTGACTTGAAGCCTAGAAAAACTTGGCTTTTCAAAAGTTTTTTTCTCTTTTTCTCTCTCTGGAAATATAACCATTTGATGTTGATAAAGATCCAGCTAGCTAGTGTGTGCATTTATACAATCCTATCAGGCCAGCATACATCCTTTACCTTATTCACCACACTATCATCCTTAGTTTTCTCTGATTACACACACCACTCCAGACCTACTTTCACCCTACACACACGTAATTCACCCCTCTCATATCACCCTAAACCCTGCCTCTCATTCACTCCACGAGCTCCCCCTTCATTTTCCTGGTAATCTCTACGAAAGGTGTAGTTGCTGGTCCCTGGACAAGTCCTTTAACAGATCTACATGCACTGACTGCCAAAGGCAACAAAAACTGTGCTATATATAGTAACGTGACAAAAAATGACTGTGTTCCTGAGATAAACCTCCAATGACCTTGCTCCGTCGCACTTGTGCATTGCTCACTTAGGTGCCTATGTGCGGTTTGTTTCTGCGGCCACAGATCCTCCCAGATTGCTAAGTTGTATGTAGTCTACGACAAAATGTATGACAAATAAGTGAAATGAAAAGGGCAGATAACCCACTCTCCATCTAGTGCTCTGCTTCTTCAAAGAAGCAAAGTAAAGTCATTTGCTTAGCAGAAGCAGATATAACTCATGAGTCTGTTGTACCTCTTGTGCTGAACAAGGGTGGATACCCCAATTGCTCCTTGACTGGTGAACAGGAACATCCCTCCCGTCTGTACTCCTCCGTTGTTTGCCTAGATCCATTTCACCTGTTTCTGGTGACAATCACCCGACAGTTGAATCCTGTATCTCCTGGTATAATCTATAATAATTCACATCACACTGAAAGTCTACCAACATCACAAAATCACTACCGTAGTAATTTTCACTTTCGATATAATATGTAATTATAAAAGGTCTGCTAGTGGACTAGTGCTAGAGAAGAAGCCCCCTTATTTGGCCACAGGCAGTGTGGGAGATATGTACCTAGGTATGTCCACCCAAATATAGGTAACATATTCACCTACTATAGGTATCATATTCATCCTTCTATAGGTGTGTAAAATATTCACCCTATTATAGCTATACAACGTATTCACCCTACCATAGGTATATAACAAATTCATCCTACCATAGGTACACAACATACCAGTTTTCAACCTAGTTTTGAGACATAGAAATATGTATTATTTCACATTTACCATATAGCAGCTATGTAATGTTCACCATTTGCTACAGAATGTGCCGTGTCATATTTGTCCCATAGTAGCTATGTTCTGCGACACATTTTCCCCATAGCAGCTATATACAATGACATTTCCCCATAGTAGCTATATGATGCAACACATTTTCCCCATAGTAGTTATGCACCTTGCCATGTTTTCCCTATAGTAGGTACGTACCGTGCCATGTTTTCCCTATAGTAGGTATGTACAGTGACATGTTTTCCCATAGTAGGTATGTACCGTGAGACACTTTCCCATAGTAGGCATGTACCGTGCCATGTTTTCCCTATAGTAGGTACGTACCGTGCCATGTTTTCCCTATAGTAGGGATGTACAGTGACATGTTTTCCCATAGTAGGTATGTACCGTGAGACACTTCCCCATAGTAGGTATGTACCGTGAGACACTTTCGCATAGTAGGTATGTACCGTGAGACACTTTCCCATAGTAGGGATGTACCGTGCCATGTTTTCCCTATAGTAGGGATGTACAGTGACATGTTTTCCCATAGTAGGTATGTACCGTGAGACACTTCCCAATAGTAGGTATGTACCGTGAGACACTTTCCCATAGGAGGTATGTACCGTGCCATGTTTTCCCTATGGTAGGTATGTACCATGCCATGTTTTCCCTATAGGAGGTATGTACCGTGCCATGTTTTCCATATAGTAGGTATGTACAGTGAGACACTTTCCGATAGTAGGTATGTACCGTGCCATGTTTTCCCTGTAGTAGGTATGTACTGTGAGACACTTTCCCATAGTAGGAATGTACCGTGAGACACTTTCCCATAGTAGGTAGGTACCGTGCCATGTTTTCCCTATAGTAGGTACGTACCGTGACATGTTTTCCCTATAGTAGGTATGTACAGTGACACGCTTTCCCATAGTAGGTATGTACCGTGAGACACTTCCCAATAGTAGGTATGTACCGTGAGACACTTTCCCATAGGAGGTATGTACCGTGCCATGTTTTCCCTATGGTAGGTAGGTACCATGCCATGTTTTCCCTATAGTAGGTATGTACCATGCCATGTTTTCCCTATAGGAGGTATGTACCGTGCCATGTTTTCCATATAGTAGGTATGTACCGTGCCATGTTTTCCCTGTAGTAGGTATGTACTGTGAGACACTTTCCCATAGTAGGTATGTACCGGGAGACACTTTCCCATAGTAGGTATGTACCGTGCCATGTTTTCCATATAGTAGGTATGTACCGTGCCATGTTTTCCCTGTAGTAGGTATGTACTGTGAGACACTTTCCCATAGAAGGTATGTACCGTGAGACACTTTCCCATAGTAGGTATGCCCCGTGCCATGTTTTCCCTATAGTAGGTATGTAGCGTGCCATGTTTTCCCTATAGTAGGTATGTACCGGGCCATGTTTTCCCTATAGTAGGTATGTACAGTGACATGTTTTCCCATAGTAGGTATGTACCGTGAGACACTTCCCAATAGTAGGTATGTACCGTGAGACACTTTCCCATAGGAGGTATGTACCGTGCCATGTTTTCCCTATGGTAGGGATGTACCATGACATGTTTTCCCTATAGTAGGTATGTACCGTGCCATGTTTTCCATATAGTAGGTATGTACCGTGAGACACGTTCCCATAGTAGGTATGTACCGTGCCATGTTTTCCCTATGGTAGGTATGTACCATGCCATGTTTTCCCTATAGTAGGTATGTACCGTGCCATGTTTTCCCTATAGTAGGTATGTCCTATGTCACATCTGCCCCATGGTAGGTTAAAGTACACACTTGGCTTACACATTGTTTTTCACTTACAATGGAACTTAACAATGACAACACTGATTAGTAATGTCCAATGAGAAATGCTTAATCCTCATACTGACCCAAACTTACGCTACATCTCGTAATCTAGAATGAATTTAATTGTAAAAATGTCCGACTATGATTAATCATTAGTTATGTCAAAAATTCCGCATTTGCTCGGGGGGCCTGCGCTGTGTGGCAGTGGTGGCGACGGCGGCAGTGGCATTGTCTGTGCCACGGCGGGCGTGCTGAGGTGATTGTTGACTGGATTGTGTCTGCGCCGGCTGAGGTGTCTGTGTGCCAGCCTCTCCAGCCTCACCCTCCTCCCCACCCTCACGACTTTTGTCCTTTGTCCGGAACTTCTTACGCCAAGATGGGGCTCTTCTGAATTTTCCACCTTCACCCTACACAAGAGAAACCAGCAGACAATTACCCACAGTGCTCAGCCTCAACACAACAGACTGATGAAGAATGTTTATTGTAACTTTTCAATTGCTTAGCATATTTGACCTTGAACAATTTCATGCATACCCTTTTTTTTTAACTGACAATAATCTGTGTTGTGTGCCTGTGGATGTTTCGGTGTAAATGCTAATAAATATGTATATATATTCAATGATAAGAGGAATTTAGCTTTTTCTTAATGGATGCAAAGACAAAACAATCTGTGATATATGAAATGTATGAGAGACTAGTTTTTTTTTTAGTTTGATAATTTGTGTCTAATTCCTTTTGATTTGATAAAATGTCCATTACTGTGATCAATGAAACACAGACATGGTAGCAACACTCACAAGTTTAAAACACTACAAAATGCTGATTTTGAAAAGCTGAACTTGAATTAATAATTATTTTAGGGATTTTACACAGAAAGCACAAAGGTAANCCCCCCCCCCCCCCCCCCATCCAGGCTCATCAGTGTAATTACATCAAACTAATAAATAAAACAAAATTTAGTGCAAATCAAGATAAACAATATTATAAAAATTGATGCTTTGTTTAAGTGAAAGAAGGTTTGAACTGTATCTAAAAGAGCAAAGAGTACTGGCAAGGCAATTAAGCAACCTTCACAATTACCACAAGATCACATATTGCACGAAATCATAATTCAACATCAGCTATTCAAAATTCTCTAATCTGAGAGACAGCATTACAACGAACATGATTAGTAAATCAGTAAATCTGAAACTGGACGGTCGAGTGTAACGAACTGTATCACAAATATTTACAGAGTTATACATATTTAACGTTTCAGTTGTGAGAATGTATACATGTATACAACATTTGCAGTATAAACATAATGTAGATCAAATGAATAGAAAAAAAAACATTGAAAGCAAGTTCCCAGTACACAAGGAGCTACATAAGTAGGAACTCAAGTAAGAAAACTAGAAAATAAAGATGGGACTTGTCTACATAGATCTAATACAACCAAACCAGACTCGTATAGGAACTGAGTATTGAAGATGGGATAAATTCTGATCTTGCCTACTTTCTACACAGTTTGACACTGATGTGTATATGTCAACAACATACTCTCCCTAACTGTGCTTGTTGTAAACATTTGTAGAGAACCTTTACCCAGCTTGAGTTTGTAACAAGTCGTAATATTGTAATGCAACAAGACATCATCAAAATTCACAATCATATTTATTTTTATTTTTCGTCTACATCTGAAATTTGGAATGACATTTAAAAATGTTGTGATGTTATTTGACAGAGTGTCTAAAATAATCAATTTTGATTGGCATTAAACAAGTGTCAATCAGACTCACTTATCTCAAGACCAACAACTGTTGTCAAGGGAACGTGCTTCCAATTATTTTTTTAACACAGATGACTTAGAGAGCTTCCTACCTGTGTCTATTTCTACACAATCAAGTGGTAATATCATGCGGGCACTTCAAAAGAAAATTAACATGTGTAGGATCAGTACACGAGTTCAGTGGAAATAAGATATAATACGTTACATTTACAGAATCAGTACACGAGTTCAGTGGAAATCAGATATAATATTTTATATTTACAGAAGAAATGTGATGGTTGTCAAAATTTAACATTTCAGAAGTTTACATTAATGTCATAGATCAGAATCATCAGAAAATTACACCATACAAAAAGTTTGTTGATATACAATACATATATAACGGAGAAAGTTGATGTTATACAGCTCAGTTAATTCACAAGTATATATAGTACAACTAGGCATGCAGATACACACATTTTATCATTCAGTGATCCAATTGAATATTTTTTCTTTAATATGTGTCATAAATTATTATTCATCAAATGATTTGTAAAATATTAATGATTAATGGAATAAAACTCATGCTGGATTCTGAATAGGTATACCATGTCATTAAAACAGTTGATGTGAACGTCTAAGTTTAATAGCAGATATTACAAGCTAGAAATTATACCCCATTTTTTCACAATAGAACATATTGATTATTTCAATCAATCCTTTGTGAAAAACAGCAGAGAAAGTCTCAGGTATACAATAATTAAATCTAGAAAAAGAAGATTAGTAATCATAATATTTTCTTACATCGTAATAATATCTCAAAACTAGATAATGATAAAACTTAAAAATATCCAAACACTTGGCACATTAATCAATCATCATGCAGGCACCTGTTCTAACAGAGGGAATTACATCAATTTGTGTGAGGACATCACTCCCGGCAACCACCAAAACAGGGTCTACACTATTTACGTGTTGGTTGATTACTCAGACTGGCTACATAAATTAAGAAACCTACATCAACCACTGATTAGATCTACCAACCAATCAGATTGGCTCTCTCAACCTGCTATTAGAGTTTGATATAAGGATATATTTTAGTTTGATATAAGGATACTTGAGTTTGATATAAGGATATTTTAGTTTAGGATACTTGAGTTTGATATAAGGATTCTTGAGTTTGATAAAAGGATACTTGAGTTAGATATATGCATTTTTAAGTTGGATAAGTAATTTGAATCTGCTAATGTGTTATTTAAATTTGATATTGGGTTATTTGAGTGTTCCATTTGCACATTCAAAACTAGTAAATGTAACCACGTACGTATCCTAACAAAACATTTTATACTCGTCGACAGATTGTCACATCAACCTCGAATCCACTCAAAGGACACATGGTGCATTGCCCGTTTTATGTAAAATGTTTAATTGAATTGTCACTGATAGTTCATTAGTTATGACTCAGACTTGTGACAGTGAGCTATAATTGAATTTGAGGTAACAGTACTGGGGGGTATACCACAGTGATAAGAAGCTGTTTAAACTTTAGTGTGGCAGTGAGGCCATAAGCATGCATCACTTAATAATAACAATACTTTATCATAACAATAATTCTAACGTTAAAGTTGGGGTAGCAGAACTGAAGAATTTGTCAAAAATTTCTTATGTAATCAGAAGACATGGTGGCCATCTTGGATTGCTTATCAGTCCAAAAATAAAAACATTTGCTATTGTTCAGGTCTACGAGAAGATTGCTCAAAATTTAGGAAGATATGGCCTGGTTTACTTGTGAACTAGTTTAAAAAATCACAACCAATAGGAGGCAAGATGGCCATCTTTGAATTTACATATATTGTCGGTATTTCCCCTACTGGCCCCTGCCCTGGTCCCCCTATGAAGGCCTCACCTTTCATCTACACAACACTGATTTCCTGCTCATAGGACTCAATCAAGCTAAGTTTGTTTTAGAGCCTTTCACCCTTACTTCAGGAGAAGTCTTTTTGAGGGCAACTACCTTCACTTAACTCATTCACCACTGAAGACACATTTAAGCTCTTCCAATTCAAAGGCTGGAATAGTTCATTATAAAATTTCAGGGGTGAATGAGTTAAATAACAGTTAAATGCCCTCGACTAGGAATGCTCCGTACAAAATTCGGTCCAAATATCTCTTCAGCCATCCTGCGCTAGTAATTTTTATATAAACAGTTGGCAACAGACAGATGATGCACTAAGGCAATTTGTGCCAGATCAGCTATTAAATATACAGTGGATAAACACTATCTGCATATAAAGCCTTCAAATGCATCCTAAGTTCCTAAGTTTTATGGAACAGGAAACACACGACTTCTAAATAGTCTAACATCAAGCCAAATGGAAAGACACAATTCCATATCTCAAGTCTTCCTAATATGGGAATTAACGAACTACAGTTTAAGTTGCTAGTACATGTAGCTCTATTTTTCATCAATTCTTTATGCCACATAATGTGCAAGATACATGTGTTATAGTTCTACAGTACAGAATTTGGAATTATTAAAGTAATAAAACATTTTCCAACATAATATTTAGAGGTTTAACGCAATATTAGTACACCGCAATGTATTAACATTCTGCATAGAAACGAAGAGACACAGAAAGTTAGTGGCATTCTATTGGATAGTATATTTTCAAATAGCTCAGATTAACAAATATTAAAGAAAGTGAAAATAGGATCCAACATTCCATAAGTTCATCAAAGATAATATAGTACCCAGAGTTTACTGTATGTACCGGTAGCAGGCTCGGTATATTGGCGAAAATCTGTATCATTGCTGTTTCTGCATTGAACAGTATTAATGTGAAGGTAAAGTAGCTTCTCTCCACAAAGCATTATATATTATAGTTCAAAATGCCTGTAGATAGTGGTTATACAAGTTATATAGACGGGGGCCAAACACCACCAGTATTAGTTATACATGTCTACAGACCTGTGATATTTTGCGATTCTGTAAATAATAAATTCTTGGGTATAATAATATTTTATATCCATCGTATATTTTCATTTTTTTTCATACCCCCAGCCTGAAAGACCTCAAGGCTGATAACAGAGAAAAATTTCAGTAACCATTTCATTATTTTTGTAAAACAAAATGTGAGACATTTTGGTTCCTTTAAAAAGATTATATGATCCTCAACCTATCTTTCCTACAATCTACTTTTACATTCCAACTACACAGCGCAATTTTAAGATATGACAGAATTGAAGATGCTGAAAATGTACTGAATGTATGAGTGTTAATGCTACCGGGGAAACAAAGGCCATTTTTTTAATTTCACACTTTCCCAACCATATCATGACATATTTCACAATATTACATAGAATCAATTTAACCCTGTGTAAATTACAGAAAGTGACAGACACAAAAGTGCAGTTCATGAAGAGAAACATGAAGAGAAACACAGTGGATGACAAGGTCAGACAGTGGTGGGGGTCAAGGACACGGACACTTTAGCAGAGTTCAAGGTCATGGTCACACATGTGCAAGTAACAATAACAAAAAGACAGGATATAGATCAATTTGATTGACAAACAGAAGCTACTTACATAAATAAACAAGAAAATGGAGGGTCGATAACATCAGAGACACAAGTGAAGGTCACAGACATGTGAAGGTCACATATATAAGTGAAGGTCACATACACATGTGAAAATCACAGTATAATCAGCTGTGTTTTGTCTGGTGTGTAGATATGTGTAAACTATAATAGCCAATGATGTGTACAATATTGTGGAAACAGGATGTAGTGTAATATCCACTAAAGTGTTGGAATGTGTACAAAATATATCAATATACAAATACAACAAGCCACAGAGGCTATCACTACAGTGAGAAGACTAGGTGACGAGGCTAATTCTAGTTGTCAACATGACTGAACACCTTCACACATCATACCAAAAGAATGGCCTTCCTTAATACAAAGCTGTTTGTTGTGGTACATTGTCAGGAGATAAAGGAAATGATCTAATAAATATTGGTGTTGATTTCACTTGTTCAGGAAAAATCCTTTAGATACATTGCCAAAAAACAAAAATTAATTGGTCATATTTTTGCATAATCTCAAGGAAACATAACATTCTTTAAAGGGAATTTTATCAGTGAATTTTGATTTTAAAACAGATATTAGGATTCATGATGTGATGTGTCAGGTCATACATGTACAACATCTACTGGTAACCAGAAACAACTGTGTCAAAGGTCAAAATATACATTTATTGCCCACAGGTCAGCCATCCAAGATGGAGGATGAATATTAGGATCACAAATCATGTCTAATGGACTAACAGACAATGTCGTAGAATAATCAAATGTACGTCATTTTATTTTCACCCAGGGAACCAGAACTGTTTTGTGATCCAAAGGCCATCCAAATCACTGATATTCTGCAAAGTCAGACAGCAGAAACAGACAGAAACACTTGAGGGCAGCACTATATTGATACAGACAGTAGGCTAGGACACACCCATTCTTGATGAGTGGGATATCACCAAGGCAAGAACACACCCATTCTTGATGAGTGGGATATCACCATAGGTGGAAATAGCACCCATTCCTGATGAGTGGGATATCACCATAGGTGGAAATAGCACCCATTCTTGATGTGAGCAGGAAGCATGAAAAGACACACTCATTCTAAACGAGTGGGACACCACCATAGGTGGAAATAGCCAGGACAAGTTCATTCTTGATGAGAAGGTAAGTATTTTCAGCAGGAAGTAGGCAAAGACACAACCATTCTTGATGAGGTACATACTTTGAAGCAAGAAATAGGAAAGGGTACATGCATACTTGATAAATGAGATATCAAAGGCAGAAGTAGGCAAGGATAATGGCCTGATGTGGAGGATACAACCTTTATAGAGGTAGTAGGAAAGACACACATTCTTGACGAGAGGGGCATGGTATAGTGGGGCAGGAAGTAGGTATGGACACACTCATTTTCTAAAGAGGGACGGGGAGTACCACTGGGGCAGAAGGTGAGTAATAACAGTTCAAGGCATCACTACTGACACCGGAAGTAGAGGATGACACTACCATTCTTGTCAAGGGTAGCACTACTACAAGGCAGTAGATTAGGACACACCTACTCCTGTCAACAGTGGACTGGTAGATAATCTCAATGTAATGAACAGATTGTAAAGGCTATAACCATTTGAGGGAATAAATTTACATTAAGCTAAATTATAATTCTTGTAGTAGGGGTTGGAGGAATGGGTTGGGACACTTTAACCAAAAAAACATTTAGGAATGGATTGGGCTCATTTAAATTAAAAGATACAATTTGATAAGGACTGAAGGAATGATAAATGCAACATTTGTAAAAGATGGAGAAATGAAGGAGAAATAGCTTGGTCCAGCACTTCCCTGGGACCTGGTGGTCATCGTTTCTCAGACTGTTAAAGTGTAATTCCCCAGTCACCACTCAGTCAGTCTATGAATAATGCTGAATTGATCTAAACTTCTATACCATACACACTTTACAAGGGTCTGTCTTGAATATAATATTGCGAATATCTGAAGCGATTTAATGGAAGTTTGACCTTGTAGTCAGAGGACTGTTACCATAGTTACTAGATATATGCTCTGTAGACTGAGAACCGTTATCATAGTGCGAACGATCTGTGCTTTTAGGCTGAAGATTGTCAACACAGTGACAAAAGGTCTGCCCTTATAGTCTGAGGACTATTACCAACGTGACAAAAGGTCTGCCCTTATAGTCTGAGGACTATTACTAACGTGACAAAAGGTCTGCCCTTATAGTCTAAGGACTATTACCAACGTGACAAAAGGTCTGCCCTTATAGTCTGAGGGCTATTACCAACGTGACAAAAGGTCTGCCCTTATAGTCTGAGGGCTATTACCAACGTGACAAAAGGTCTGCCCTTATAGTCTAAGGACTATTACCAACGTGACAAAAGGTCTGCCCTTATAGTCTGAGGACTATTACCACCGTGACAAAAGAAATGCTCTGTAAGGCTGAGGGTTATGGCCATAGTGATTGGAGGACAGCCCTGGTAATCTCAGGACTTTTAACCTAGCGACTAGAAATTTGCTGTTGTAGGCTATGGATTGTTACCCTAGTGACAAGATATATGAACCAACATGTGGAGAGATTTATTGCTATAGACTGAGGACTGTTACCCTGGTGACTGAGTTATTACATATGGCTGACATACAACGCATCTCTGACCACCAGGTTTCCTTTGGGCAAGTGCACAACTCACCATCACCGTGGCTACAAGTGCCCATCATCAAAGCCAAGGCGTTATAATCAAGCCGGCCGCAGTGCCACATCATACATACACTGACCCAGACCTACCTCATCCAGCCGCCGGTCAGTTCCCATGGCCAGTAGGTTGCTGAACTCTCTGTCCAATATTTGTCTCGCCTGTGTACAGAAAAGACAAACAATCTGCAGACTAGGACCAACTTTCTGACAACATTAAGCAGATCACTTTATAGCAAAAAGCAGTATAATAGTGTTTAAAATAGTTTTATTGACATACCACAAGCATGTACGTAAAACCCTTTTATTACATACAGATGTTGTACACTTATACCAATAGATATGACAGAAAATCTTAACTCTCAGAATATTCTCAATGTTTAAAATCAGGTTTTGGTTAATTGCTAGATTTTCTCAGAGTTCAAATGAAATATTGAAATATTTTTTTATCATGTTAGGAAATCATCTGCTCACATGAAACAGTGTATTAATCACATAGATACATAAAATGTCTGTCCTTGCAGCTACGAAGTTTCTAGGAAATCTGCTCAAAGCTAAGCAACTTGCAGTGTTTACAGCTTTGTAATGTTCACAGTACATAACAACAATTAATGTGTTACTGACATGGGATCATTAAGTCTGATCTCCCAACTCTGTTAAGTTCAAGGAAAACAAATAGAAAATGCGAGACTACCCAGACTTTGTAATGCTCCAATATATAAATGCATTAAGTGACTAAATAGTTATCAGATCAATATATCTAATACAGAAACCCTTTGGACTTTAAAAGAATATTATGGAAAATATTCTCATGAATAAATATTGATAGACCTATTGACTATGCAATAATGATGATCTTTAAGGAAGTTGGTCTAGGAATTAAAGTCAAGAAACTGAGCTAAAAACAAAACGTTTTCTTTATTGGTGGTCAGATTGTCTGTGTAAGTGTTTAATTCACTGCACTGTATTGTATACTGATGAGCTGTAAAGCTCTAAGTAGTAAAGGACTTAACCTGTATAATTGGTTACTTTACCTATATACCTGTATAACATAAGTGGTAATTTTACCTGTATAAGTGATTACTTTACCTTAACTTTACCTGTATAAGTGGCTAGTTTACCTGTGTAAGTGATTAGTTTACCTGTGTATTTTGAGTTGGTATCTGGAGGGCCAAAGCCAGACTGCTGTGGTCAAAGCTCTCGTCCAGTGACACCAGAGAACCGTGTACCCCTGACTCTATCAGGTTGTTTGCATATTCCCGGAGACCTATTGATTGTATCCATTTTATTACCCGCTCATTCGTCCACACTAATACATCTGTAAAGACAACAATGCAGGGGTTAGTATAGACAATTTGTAACAGTATGTAACACAGGGCCATACAGTATAGACAACCTGTAACAGTATGTAACACAGGGCCATACAGTACAGACAACCTGTAACAGTATGTAACACAGGGCCATACAGTA